AATAGCATGCATTAATTATTGCAAAGAGATGTCTTTAGGAGAAAATGATTTGGAAATTCAGTTTAATTTCATTGTAATGCGCCGCAAACAGGAAGGGAGTGTGTGTGTTTAATTGGCTCTCGGGGGTGAGGCCGGGAAGATGGCATGCCTTTGTCACAGGCCATTAGTGATACAGACTGCATAATGAGGGACTACAATCAGCTCACAGCTGCCGGCTCCTACGGGGAGAGAATGATATTAAATGGAAATCAGTATAAATTAAACTTAACCCTTGCGCTAGCAGAGCAGAACTCAGAGCTGGAAGTGCAGGAGAGGAGCAGAGATAGGAGTGGAGGTTCAAGGCGGTTCAGAGAGTGCTTGGCTAACCCTCACAGTGTCAGATCACCAGCCAGGTGACCTCCCTGGTGTCTCCTCTCCCCAGGACAGCAGGCTTGAACTCCCTAGAGTCATAGAATCAGCAGGGTTGGAGGAGACCTCTAGGATCATAAAGTCCAACCCCCAACCTGTCACTGCTGTAACCCCTAAACCCTAAACCATATCCTTCAGTGCCAGATCCAGGTGCCTCTTAAACATCTCCAGGACTGGGGACTCCACCACCTCCCTGGGCAGTATCCCAGTGCCTGAGCGCTCTAACAGGGAAAACATTTCTCCTAACATCTCCTCTGACTCTGCTCTGTCTCAGGTCAAAGCCATTCCCTCTAGTCCTCTCCCTGCACCATGGCAGGAGACTCTATTCCTCATTCTGTCCCCCACTCTCCTTTCCCTTCATTCCTTTCCTCTCTGCTTGCTCAGTCTCTGATGTATATCAGGTCGATGGGGCCGTTTTTTCCCAAGCCTCATTTATCCAGCAGTTCCATGAGTGAGCCCCATGGCCCCTTGCTTGCCCTGCCTGCCCTGCCTGCCCCTGTCAAGCTGGCAGCCTCTGTAGATCACTCACAGGTGGCAAATGTCCCTGTGGTGGTAAAAGAACTCCTTCAGGGAATGAAAGAGGTTATGTCCTGTCACAACAATTGGATGTGGAAGGTGAGTTACCCCCATTAAGCAGAGATGGGTGGCTTTGGAGCAGAGACCACACTGGCAGGATCCAAAAGAGGTGAATCCTGGCCACTGCCAGGCTGTAATCTGCTACACATGCCATTTCCAGGTATTCCAGGCAAGTGATCATAATTAATGTTTTTCTCAGAAAGTACAGGATCCCACACAAAAAATAGACAAGTCTTAAAAGGCAGCAGTGATGATTGACAGTTCCTTTATTAAAATCCCCCTTTCTCCCATGAAACTCTCTTCCCCAAGAAAACAACCTTGTGTTGAGGATGGTCATTCCCTCCAGGATAGGAAGGAAAGTAGCACTGCAGGCTCTGGCCACCAGCACTCCCAGTGTGCTCTGGCTGCTCCCTCCTTCGTTTCTAAGGAAATCTTGGGAAAACCAGGTGCTTAGTGCAACAACTGCAGACCTGTGTTCTTCCTCTGGGATGAGAGGCAAACGTGTGTGTTCCATGCAGGAAGCTGTGCAGCTCTCCCTCTGCAAACCCTCCCTGTTTGTGCCTCCAGTTAGAGAAGGAAAGGGGGAAAAGTGGGGGAAAAGCAGTGACTTTTTGCTGAATTCAAGGCTGTGAATGAGCTGAACTCCTGGTGGTGCAGAGGTGATGTGCTGCTGCTCCCATCCTCGTTATTCCCTGGATTTGCCTTGCTGTGTGCTGTTCCCTCCATCTCTCATTTCCATCCCAGTGAATGTGATTATTTTGATTGTATTAAGGCTGTTGACAGAGCGGCTTAGATCAAAGTCCCCTCCAGCCATTTCCAGGGAGACTGCTGGGTTTCCACCTGCTGTCATACATCCAAGTGGCACTGAGACCTCGGAGACTGAGACAAACCCAAAGGAAAAATGCCTCTGGCTGTCTGTCTCCTGTCCCTGTGTACCTTCCCAGCTGTCCTGTGCCCTGCCAGGTGAGAGCAGCCCCCAAGCACACTCATGTGCTGCTAAGCAGGGAGGAGGGAAGAAAGAGAGAAGGAAGGAAGGAATTTTATGGTGAGGATGGTGAGGCGTTAGCACAGTGTCCAGAGAGGTGGTGGATGCTCCATCCCTGAAAGTGTTCAAGGCCAGGTTGAATGGGGCTTGGAGCAACCTTGGCTAGTGGAAGGTGTCCCTGCCCATGGCAGGGGGTAGGACGGGATGAGCTTTAAGCTCCTTTCAACCCAAATCATTCCATGATTCTATGGCCAAAATCAAGCCCTGAGAGCTGGAGGCAAGCAGCAGAGAAACACCAGCTTCCCTGGCCATCCCACTCCCTGATCTTTATCCATCCATCCCAGCCTTGCAATGCCTGTGTGGCTCAGGCTGTGGCACTGTCAGGCTGTGTTATACCTGCCCAGAAGGCAGGATGTTATCCCTGCCCTTTGGAGACATGAGGAAGGGGACAGAGGGTTTGGGAGCCTGGTGGAGCGGCATAGAATGGTGCTCAGGCACTGCCTGTTCTCCCCCATGTTCTCCTGCCTGCACAGGGTGTTTCTCCAGAGGAATGTGGCAATCCAGTAGTGCGCACCAGGGAGAGATAGGATCTGAAGGCAGCCTTCTCCCTGAGGGAAGCCCAGCTTCCATTCACATTTGCCCATACATCCAGAAAATTAGAATCTGGTGTATTCAGGGAGATTTATTTTCAATTACAGGTTAAAGCTGAGACATGAAATAGCATCGGGTTTGAAAGTAGTGCATAAATCCTGCAACAAATCCATGTATCTCAGCTCCATATAATAAGATTTTATTGATTGCAATATTGTATCTGTCAGAATAAAACTCTCTTAATGCATGCATCAGGGTGCAGAAGATAGAGAGCTTGTTGGGAGTAGAATCTGAGTCAGGAATCAATGCACTTTGATTAATATGTTGTTAAGAAAGTAAGAGTTATTTAACTTGTTTGATGCACATTTCGGAGTGATGACTCATATCTTTTAAGTTTCCTTCTTAAAGAATAAAACCCCCAACCATGAAGCTGATTTTTCTATTAAGGCTTGGTTTATCACTGAATTTTTGCTTAGCCCTTTTATGCAGGTCACAGCCCTCCAGAATCCCATTAATAATAAATCCTATGGCCCAAAACACTCCCCATATGCTGTTGTTGAAGGCTGCAGGGGGAGAACAGGGTGGACCTGGGGTCTCTGTATTCTTCCTTGATGTTGTGCAGTGACAGAGGGAGCTCCAGGGCAAACAGGAAAAAGTTGTCTTTCCTCTGTGATTGCAAACACAGGCACCAAAGACAAGGCCTGGCTTAGCTGGGAGCATCCCACTGGGCACTGAATTCCCAGCTTGCTCCACAAATGGGATTTGCTCTTGCTGCAGCCATGAATTCCCAGTCAAGAGAAAGATCCCAGTGACTCAAACTGGTTTCGATAACCTCCTGGTGTCTGTCTGTTCTCCTCAGACTGAACTCTCCCATCCACAACTGGCACCACTGCAGATCCTTGCCATTCCCAGCTTGGCTCTTTGAGATTCCATAGAATCATAGAATAGTTTGGGTTGGAAAGGACCTTCCAAGGTCATCAAGTCCAACCCCCATCAAGACTGGAGCATAAGTGTCATGAGGAGTGGCTGAGAGAGCTGGGGGGACTCAACCTGGAGAAAAGGAGGCTCAGGCAGGACCTTCTCACTCTCTCCAACTCCCTGCAGGAGGTGCAGCCAGGTGGGGTCAGGCTCTGCTCCCAGGGATCAAGGGACAGGATGAGAGGAAACAGCCTCAACCTGTGCCAGGGAAGATTTAGTATGGATATTGGGGAAAATTCATTCATGGGTGTAAAGCATTGGCACAGCTGCCCAGGGCAGTGGTGGAGTCACCATCCCCGGAAGCATTCAAAAACCATGTGGATGTGGCACTAGAGGACATGGTTAGTGGTGACCATGGTGGTGGTGCTGGGCTTGGTGATGTTAAAGGTCTTTTCCAACCTTAATGATTCCATAATCCCATGATTT